GGGGAGGGGCAGAGAGAGAGGGACACATAGAGTCAGAAGCAGGCTCCAGGCTCTGAGCTGTCAGAGCCCGATGTGGGGCTCAAACCTAGGAACCGTGAGATCATGACCTGAGCCGAAGTTGGATGCTTTAACCGACTGAGCCACCCAGGCGCCCCTGAACTGTGCGCTTTAAATGGATGAATTGTATGGTATGTGAATTACATTTCAATAAAGAAAAACATAACGACTTTGATAGCTTTTACATACCTACATGCAAATGAATAACTTGATTACAAAACATATGCCTACCTACCTTTTGATAGGGCCTTAACATGTTGTGTTTAATTTGCTTTTTGAAAGAGTGTGGAAAAGAAAGTTACACCTTGCACTGTCTTTCATTCTTCCACATCTTAATTTTGAGAGGCTTCAAGTTATACTGTTGGCATAATTACATGCCTGAAAAGATTGTCTGTGACATGCATGTCAGGCTTAAATCAGCACGGATGAAACTTCACCCATTTAAGTTTGGCTTTCCTTTGCTCTCTTTATAAACACCATCATTAAACCTCATCACTTCGGTTATGTATTTCCGGCATTTCTCTATTTTTATCCATTCATTCAGAATCTGTTCTAGACAGGTTAGAAATAGGCCTGTCATTCTCTCTCTCCTCCTTTCCTCACTTCTGCTTCCTGACTCTGTAGTCACAGGCAAGTCTCTTCTCCTGTGGGCCTCAGCTACCAGGTGGGGAGTGAGGGTCACCTGCCCAAGAGGAGGATGGCGGAGTTCACCCCTCGGGGGGCCGCCTCTTCGTACTTGATGTCCGTCCTGGCACTTCCTGCAGAGAGTTTCTTGTGTTCTTGTCTCCTGTGTCCCCCGGCCCTGTCCGCAGTGGCGCTTGATGCTGTCTTTTGCCACGGTGGTGAGCGTCCACTCATCCCATTTTTCGTCTTCCTTGATGGGACGGGGAAGGCATTTATTTGAGCCCAAGATTCTCACGACTACCCAGACCCTGTTCTTGGGAACCCTGGTGATATTACCTGCTAAGCAAAACGCTCTCGGTCATTCGCTGTGTTTGGCTTTCTGTCTGTGCAAAACGTACTCCGTTCTTAATGGCTGACTTGAGAGGGCAACGAAGCTAAAGGTTTTAAAGGTAGATTTAAGTAGTTTTCCCTTTGAGTTACTTTCCTTTCTCTTTCTTCTCACAGGTAATGGTAATTCGGGGTTCGAAGGCCAGAGTCGATATGTGCCGTCTTCTGGAATGTCTGCCAAGGAGCTCTGTGAGAACGATGACCTGGCGACCAGTCTGGTTCTTGACCCCTATCTAGGTTTTCAAACACACAAAATGAACACCAGGTAATTGTAAGTCTGTATCCTGAAGTGGAGCGGATGATGATGTTGAGTGTAAGAGAATAGATGCTAGTTTTACTTTTAGTCAGAATTTAAGATGACATCAAAGGAAAGGTCTTTGCTGTAGAAGATTTTGTGTTTGAGGCAAGAAAAGCAACAAAAGCTTCCAGGAGTCTTGTCAGTTTTAATTCTGTGTTCTTATTTTATCTCAGGCTGTTCGTATGAAAATATAAAGCTGGGGGAGCATCTCCTAGTCTATTTTAAATGTTGTGATAATTAGCTGAAAGAAAAATCTTAGAAGTATCCTGTGAAGCCTTGAAAATACAATAATTTTTTTTCTACATAAAGTAGGTTACATCAGGGGTTTTTTCATGATTTTATTACAGAGTTTTCTTCTAACTAATTGCAACCGTATATAGGGAATGTATTGCCGTCATGTTTAATCTTTGAGATTCACCTCGTCATTGGAATGAAGAGAATGTTAAAGACCTGCATCTGTCTGTCCAGTCTGCAGATCAGAAAATAGACACGGAGGTGCTTTATCGAGGCTCACATGCCATCTGTATAAAATATGGTTAACACTGCTTTTGAAGTCTGTTATCCTTTAAATTTTTTAATTCACGGGGCGCCTGGGGGGCTCAGTTGGTTAAGCGTCCAACTTCAGCTCAGGTCATGATCTCACGGTTCATGAGTTCGAGCCCCGCGCCGGGCTCTGTGCTGATAGCTTGGAGCCTGGAGCCTACTTCAGATTCTGTCTCTCTCTCTCTCTCTCTCTCTCTCGCTCTCGCTCGCTTGCTCACTCTCTGCCTGCCCTCCCCCTGCTCACATTGTCTCTGTCTCTCTCTGTCTAAAAAAAAATTTTCTTTTTAATTTTGTAATTCATGTTTTCTTAAGCATCTCTCCCCTGAAAATGGCCCTTAGATACTTTCATGATTGCCACCAAACACTAACTCGGAACTTTACAACTTTCCCTCTTAACGTGAGTGGCAGAGGGCTTTCAAGTCTGGTGAGTTGAGAATGTATAGAGCCAGTTCTAGGCCACCGATCCCTCCTACCTTCCTGATACTTGCAGTGGTGTTTTGTAGCTCCAGGGCCAGTGACAACCCCAGAGCAACTTGATCACCAGGTGACTAGTCGCCGGTAGTTGGGGAGGGAGGCATTGGCGAATGAAGGTGATTAGAGGAAACTCTTGTGCCATTTTCCCCCTTTTAATTCTGTCCATTGCTAAGATGAAAACAAAAGACTGTATGATTCGTTTATCAATTATTTTCTACATCCAGAAAGAAGTGATTTGGATAAAAATGAGCCTTTGGTATTTTCATGATTCCTGTTACCATAGATCTTTCCTTGCTAAAATGAAGTGACAAGTTGGAGTGGACTTGAGAACGTATTTAAATAGCTCCCTGACCTCAGAGGGGCAGATGCCTAAATTTTGTAAGTAGACAGGTGGATAGCTGTTGGCTGGGAAATCAGCAGTACTGGATGCCCTAATAGCCAAATAAAATCTGGTTTGCATTATTTTTTTCTTAAATTATTTTCTCAAGGAATGTTTTTAAAGTCTGGTTTTTTTTAGTAATCTCTGTACCCAACATGGGGCTCATACTCACAACCCCAAGATCAAGAGTCGCACGTTCTTCCGACTGAGCCAGCCGGGCTCCCCTGGTTTGCGTTATTTTCAGTCCATTTCCCTTCTTTTCCCCAGTGAGGCCACTGCTGCTTCTCCTAGAAGGTCCTGGTAATAGTTAAGAAATATGAATCGCTTTCACATAACAGTCTTAGAGAGGGTCAGGCTATTACTGCAAAGGCCCATAATTATGACCTGGCGTCATCAAGGAAGAGAAAAAAGAGCTAGGTAGGTCACGTTCACTGTGCCCTGTATACTGAACTGTGGAAGCACATAAACCATCATGGAAAGACTGCATCAGAATAACAGAAGGGTCATTGGTTTAGGAAGGAACTCCCTATAGTCAATTCCCCATCCTCCCGCCGTTCTTTGCTCCAGAAGATGAGCAGTTTACCTGTTACTGGCTTCTACAATAGGAAGTTACTCCTATTTTTTAATAAAAGTCCTGACAACTGTTTCCTATAATTAGTTTTACATATGAGTCACTTGGGGAGTCTTGTTAAGATGCAGGTTCTGATTCAGTAGCTGTGGGCTGGGGCCTGAGATGCTCCATTTCTAACAAGCTCCTGACTGTACTTGGAATAGCGAGGTCCTAGGCCATCTGGCCTCCTGAGCTTTGTTGTGATGTAATGAGTACATAAAAGGTCCTTATCAGGGGGCGCCAGGTGGGGCTCGGTCAGTTAAGGGTCCGACTCTTGATTTCGGCTCAGGTCGTGATCTTGCAGTTTGTGAGTTGCAGCCCGCCTCAGGCTCTGTGCTGACGGTGCAAAGCCTGCTTGGGGTTCTCCCTCTCTCCCTCTCCGTTTGCCCCTCCCCAGCTAGCGCTTTGTCTCTCTCTCTCAAGATAAATAAACTTCCTTATCAGTAGTTTCCTAGGCTCGTTTAAAAACGTGGAGTCCTAAAATGTAAAATTTAGCGTTTACCCCACAAATGTTTAAAACCCAAGACATTACTGTATCTGAGCATCCCTGAATTAAAATACAGGATCTAAAATTAAAAGTGGTTAGGGGTGCCTGGGTGGCCCAGTCGATTAATTGTCCAACTCTTGATTTTGGCTCAGGTCATGATCTCACGCTTTGTGAGTTTGATCCCCGCATCGGGCTCTTTCAACACAGAGCCCGCTTGGGATCGGATCTCCCAGTTTCTCTCTGGTGGACTCTCTCTCTGCCCCTCCCCCCACCCCAAAACAAATAAATAAATACACTTTTAAAAGAGGAGGGGCGCCTGGGTGGCTAAGTTGGTTAAGCGTCCAGCTTCGGCTCAGGTCATGATCTCAGGTTTCATGAATTTTGAGCAGTTTGTGAGTTCAAGCCCCACATCAGGCTCTGTGTTGACAGCTCAGAGCCCGGAGCCTGCTTTGGATTCTGTGTCTCCCTCTCTCTCTGCCCCACCTCCGCTTGTGCTCTGTCTCTCAGAACTGAATAAATGTTAAAAAAAATTTTTTTTTAATCTATTTATATATTTAGGGGCACCTGGGTGGCTCAGTTGGTGAGTGCCCGACTTCAGCTCAGGTCATGATCTCACAGTTCATGGCTTTGAGCCCTGGATCAGGCTCTGTGCTGACAGCTCAGAGCCTGGAGCCTGCTTTGGATTCTGTCTCCCTCTCTCTCTGCCCCTCCCCTGCTCGCTCATTCGCTCTCTCCCATTCTCTCTCTCTCTCTCTCTGAAAAATAAATGTTAAAAAATTTATATGTATATTTATAAAACTGGTTAAGCCACGTTAAACATCCAGAAGAAAACATTTATTCGTGTTTTCCGCTACAACATTTAATTCTACTCCTAGAGTTCCTGGAGTAGCCATTGGTGTAGAGAGAGAGTCTGGTGCGCCCTGGTTAGAGCAGGTCAGCCGACAGCAGCACTGGCGCCTTGGGCCTGTGTGGCCGAGCCGGCACGTTGCTGTGTCCCCGGGCACCTTGCACCAGAGGCGTTCTTTTCAAAGGTATTTTAACGGATTCTTTTGCAAGCTGACATTTGGGAAGAACGCAGAAGTTTCATTAATGAAGCTTGTTAATCTGAGTGAAAGGCACACGTTTTCATTTAATCTTAGTCACTTACTTGAAAATAAGACTGTCTTTTCTGTTCTTCGTCTTTTGAGCAAGAATTTGTCAGAATGTTGACTTAACGTCATTCTCAAAGATACCATTTTATAGAAAATAAGGAAACTGTAGTGCCGTATTAGAATAATCGTAAATATTCCTTATAAATTGTTAGTGTATGGACTTCTCTTTCTGTGAGGTGTGAAAGATGGGACCGGAAGATACGACAGCTTGGATTCTCACCGTCCCAGCCGTCTGTGTATCCCTTGTGTGAGGGATCTTTTCGTTGCCCTGTTGGTACATCTGTAATTTGATTGTCATTTTTTAAGTTTCTCTGTTTTATGCCTTCTTCCCTCCCTCTGCTTCTTTCAGTGTGCCTTCAGAAACAGTGTTCGGATACAGTAGATATTTAACGATTTAAGAATTTCCTTAGCTGGCTCTATTCCGAATGCTTATTGTTTAAATCTTGATATGTCCCTCCATTTATGCACAAGTGAGTCAGAGTTGCAGCCTGAATATCTGGAAATGGTATAAACAAAATAGAAATTTCAGTTTACTGGGAAGTACTTAGATTTAAGTGACTCTTGTCAATTATGAAAATTAAATTCTTCCCTTCCCAGAGAAGAGAGTCGTTAGTCATGCCTCTGATTTTTTTAAAAACCAAGCGGAGATCTGGTACAAGTGCTGTTGTACAGCAGGGGGGATGCTTTCTGTCACGGCCCCTTGGTTTTAGGCTGCGTGACCCAGAGATTTCAGTCTCCTGAGGCGTTGGGGAGACTCACTGGATGTTGGGCTGAGCAGGAGAGAACGTGACAAATGGGAAGAGTCCTCGTGGGACTTTTGGAACTTTTCTCTATTATTTGGTCCAAGCTGTACTTCAGCCTGCACCCATCCTTCCAGTGCTGTAACTGTCTAATTTTAATTTGGTTGTTTACGTATTATGTTTCGTGTCCACTGTTGGATGCGAACTAGACATCAATCACCCTAAATATCACTGTAAAGTCAAGTGCTTGACTAGAAAGCGCAATGAAACTTCTAGACCTTCTAACTTAATATGATCAAGGGGCAAATGATGTCGTGTGGGAAGGAAAGAATTTCAACATCTTGGCTTTTGTTATTATACTGAGTCTGCCCGTGGTGTCACAATCTTCTCGAGTGTCACGGCGTTCGTTTTAAGGACTTCTGCAACAACTACTATTGTAAGTCTGTTTAGAAATGACAAGTACAAATTATTCAAATAGTTTTTTATTGTTGTTGTTTGTTTTTGCATTTATATAGCGCCTTTCCTTCGAGGAGCTCAAGGCATTTTTCAAAATCTGACAGTTTTCCTCACAACAACCCTGTGAGGTAGGTAGAGTGCATTACAAACAATAATAAGATACCAACTAACCTGTTTCGGCCTTTATGATGTTCTCTTATGTTACGTAATTGGAGGTGTCAGCATAAACACGACTTTTAGAACGTTTTGCAAACCTTTTCAAATAGTTTGGTCTTAGTAACAGCTGTATTTAAAGAACCACTTGTACTCCATAACAGGGTAATTTTGTAAGAGAAAGCATTCATCAGAAGATCAGGAGTCACTCCCTGGGATTAGCTGAGCACTGCCGGTAGGACTCAGCCGGGGGTGTCTCTGGTGGTGGTTGACTCTCAGGTCAAGAAGGAGCGAAGAGCTGTGGTTCTAGCATGATTCCTCGGCACCTGCCAACTGTCCGTGTGCAGTCAAACTTTCTGAGAGGGGGAAATGTGTTCACGATGTTGCCTCGCGGTCTTCTTATTTTATATCTTGAATGTTTGAGCGTTTTCTCTCTCTTCCTCTCTCCTTCCCTTGCTCCCTTTTTTTTGTCCCCCTCCTCTTCCCCTCCCTCCAGTCAGCTCTTGGTTGTACTTGCTCATGGAAGGGCACAGTAGCACAGCTCACACACATCTGCAGCTTTTCCTTCCCTGGTCACTTGGGTTTGGAAACAGAAAAACCAAATAGCAAGAAAACCTGGGAAGTCAGTCTCTGGAAAGAGTGGGGAACAGGTGTGTGGGAGTGTGAATTCATGTTTCTTTCTGCCCTTTGTGATAAAAATGATTTAAATGACATATTTTTGTATTTCATGTACCAGCCATTGATCCAGAGGTGCAGGAGGAGAGAAATAAATGTTTGGTTTATTTAAAGTTGTCAAGTTTGTATGAAGAGGGGGAGGAAGGACGGACTGATTGGGAAATGCCAAACACCTGTCTCTTGCCTCCCCTGCCATGCCATTTGCCGTCCCCCATCCCCCAGATACTAAATTCAAAAGTATATATTTGTGTCCAGCCCTTTCACTGTCTCTCCGGCTGGGCTCCGTGCTGTGCTCTGTGGCGAACGAAGTCAAATCCTATTCTGATCGTGAAACGCCACCGGGGGGCCCCCAGAGCTCCCGTGAGCGAGTAGGACTGGGTAACGGTAGTCCCTCTGTTAACGGCCCTCACTGGACCTGGTTTTTCTCATTTATGGAGCCAGAGGGTTGCTTTAGAGAACCTAAATTCCCCTTTAGCTTTGAGAACCGTGGCGTGAGTGAGGATAGCTTTGTACAGTTCGTATGGGAGGTCTAGAACGACCGTGGTTCAGGAGGGGACCGAGGGAATTTCCCTACTCCGTAATACGGACCCAGGTCATTGCTTTCAAGGGTCTTGAGTGCCTTTTGCTCTGGCCCTATTAGTTGTAAGAGTCTTATGTGATGAAGTAATTTTTATCTTCCTGTGGTATCTGTCATGATGGGATTGACTTGAACTGTCAGCCAGGTGATTTGGATGTACTTCTGTAGGATTCTCAAAAACGACTGTCTCGTCCCCTTCCTGTCCGCACCCAGAACCATCTCCTCCTCCTTTGCCTCAGTGTCATTTCACGCCTTCTAGCAGCCAACCGAGACAGAAAGTTTGACAGTAAATTACATTTTAAGTGAAATGGAGGTTCTTGCTGGTGAGTAGCACGAGGGACGGTTTTGGGGGTTTTGTTTGTGTTTGAGGCAATAGAAGGCAGGAGAGCAGAAACGAAAGTCAGCACAGGAATCATAGAAGGCAGACCATTAGGCAGTCAAGAGTTGGTTCCTCTGTGTTGGTTTCAGCATATAAATGGTTTGGCATCATGAATAAAACTAAGGCTAGCTGGCAGGCAGTTTCAGATAGGGAGGGACATGCCTCAGGAAGCGGAGGGCACACAGAAAGCCTGTCAGGACGAGCCAGTGTCCGTTCCAGGTCCGTAACCTGTTTTTCTGACAGGTGCTTAGGAGCTTTAGGTGAATTTAGCCCTGACTTCGGTTTGCTCTCGAATGCATCAAGCCATGTGATTATTTGAGAACAGAGTGTCCCCGTTGGTCAGTTCCACGGGAAACCCGGAGATCGCTGGGCCCTTCCGGGGTCTTGTAGCCTGGCCGCTTGACACCCTGGACTGCTCGTCGCACTCTGAGTGAGCTGCTGCTTTTCTGCTTCCCGCCGTGTCGTGTTCTGTGTTGCCTGCAGGGGTGTGCCTCAGCCGGCAGCTGCTTGCTCGTCTGGTCTGTCCTGCATGCGCACGTGACCCCCTAGTGCAGAGCTGCGGCCAGACGGACTTAGGTTTTCTGAGGAACCCAGTCTGGAGAAGACCGCTTGTGGCCACAGGTACCTCGTAGAGTAGTCGACCTGCGTGGGAGTGTGGGTGCTCCCACAGTTCTGCGGGTGATTTTTAGATCATTTTAGTGGTGGTTCTCTGACAGCCTGGTTAAAGACCTTCAGAGTTGTTCGAAGGACTTGCACTCGTCTGCCCGTGAGGGCGGGCTGGTGTGCTCATTGGTCGAAATGGAAAGTAATACGGGGCATTGCCCATTTGTCCATTTCATTGTCCATTTGTCCAGTTGTCCATTTGCTGTCTCCGGGATGGGTTCGAAGTCTTCCTGATAGTCCTGCTTACCAGCTGTGAGAAGCTTTACTGAAACAGGAGCCCGTGGGTAGTTCGTTCTCCAAGGCGTCAGCCTGCTTTCCTAGCTCCGGAAGTCCTCTAGGGGTCCTGTCCAGTAAACAGTATTTTACCCATTCAGGATCTCACGTCTTCCCTCTTCTTTGTTCTAGTACTTTCCCTCACTGTTGCCGGCCAGCTGACTCCCTTGTTCATCTCTTTGAACCCAGCCTCCTTACGATCCTCTGTGTAGGCTCCCTCTCACTTTGCCGTCCTTCTTTGGATTCTTTCCTGCCTATGGTAGCATTCTGCTTTTCCTTTAGAAGGCTGAAATCACAGCATTCCTTATTGTCAACTCCACATCGTTGTCAACTCCAAAACCCCTTCGCAAACAGATCTTACACTTCAGCGAGAGTTTCTGTACTCTAAAGTGCTGTCGCGTGTCGTTTGTACCCTGCTAACTTGCATTAGCATAGCGACGCCTTGCTTAACTGTTGGATGCATACATGTGTCTTCTAGTCCCACTGGAGTCTCCATTCCAGAACAGCGGTCAGGTCTTCTCTCTCCTGTTTTTCACCACAGCACCTGCGCACGCAGCACCTAGTAAGGAATCCTTGGTGAGAGACTGTGGCTTGAAATTTCACTGAAATGTTACGAATACGTTTGTGATAGCTCACCTAGAAAAAGACTTCTTCTGCTTCCTGTGCTGGAGTTTGGGCCAGATCTTCCTGCGAGTTTAGAGTTCTCAAGTTTATGAGATGTGCAGTTTGTAAATGTTGGAGTAAGGTGTAGTTCAAATATATTTTCTTCTCGGCCACTAATAGTTTTTTCTTAACACCTTATCTGAATAGCAGTCTACTCCTTTTGTTGTTGGCAGATTTAAAAACAACAACGACAAAAAACTTTATTTGGGAAAATAAGCCAAAGGCAATTGACATGAGAAGACATTTTGAAATTAAGGTCCAAGTACCTTTGTCATAGAACATGTTTTACTGGGAACACAACTTTAGAAAAAGGGCTTTACCAGTGTAAGCCTTTCTTGGACCATGATCGCATCGTGTGTGACTCTTGCTAGCGGTACAGCATTCCGAAGACATTATGGCTGGTTTTGTTACGGAAGCCTTTCAGCTTCGACATCACCAGTTCAGCAACGCCACCATTAGAGTTGTGGTTTTTGCCCTTTTTGTTTTCTGAGTGCACCTCTCAAAGATGAATTTGACATGGATATTAGGGCATCAGGGTGTATTTCAGGACCTCTTGGGGTACTCGATTTGGGGGGTTTCTAACTGCGCACATGGGGAATGTTCTGTTTATGGCATGATTTTGTTTGCTTCATCCTCCCGAAGCTCATTGCCTTGCACTCTTCTGGCTCGATTGTGCATGCTCTGGAAAAGTTCTTGTCGTTCTGACTCTCAACCAGACCAGCTCTGTTGTAGATCTTTTTGTACCATCCAGATTTACAGGACTAGTGTGAGCCTGAGGCAGACAGCTTCGTTTGAGTCATCTGGTCATTTCTCAGTTAACGAGGTAACAGTGAAAGAAAAAAAAAAAAATCAAAATACAGTTGGAAGAAAGAGAAGTTCTGTCTCCTGGTGATCTCTGTTACTTGTGCAGTAATGATTTATCAGGATCGCTGGTTATTCTCTTTTATTAGGTCTGGCTGTTTTCAGGTTATTTCTTGCCTCACGATTTCTCTACAGTGGCCCAGGGATGGCGGATAACTAAAGCGAATGTTTTGATTTCGTTCAGATTTCGGCCTATTAAGGGAAGGCAAGAAGAACTAAAGGAAGTCATTGAACGTTTTAAGAAAGATGAACACTTGGAGAAAGCCTTCAAATGTTTGACTTCGGGCGAATGGGCACGGCACTATTTTCTCAACAAGAACAAAATGCAGGAGAAATTATTCAAGGAACATGTAGGTTTATTGATAAGATTACTACTATTTATCTGTGTGGGTAAGAGCAGAGTAAACTAAAACTTAAGTTTTAGTGAACGCTGAAACTTGTAAGTCAGTTTTTCATAAAGCTGATCAATGTGAAGATCTAATAACACATCAGATCATTTGTATAACTCTCCAAAGAGACAACTTGGTCATCTGGAAGTGAAATTCTCCACGAACTTTCAGAGGAACATGGCCAAGCCGTCAGGTGCTCAGATACGTGAAGTTGTAAAATCACAGAGTTTGTTACTTAACGATCCTAAATGTTTCACATTTCGGTGATGATTTGCTTTTGGATTCTGAATAAGTCTAACGGGATAAACAATTTAATACAAATACCATTATCTTCTTCTGTTTTAGGTATTTATTTACTTGCGAATGTTTGCAACTGACAGTGGATTTGAAATACTGCCCTGTAATAGATACTCATCAGAACAAAATGGAGCCAAAATAGTTGCAACAAAAGAGTGGTAACTATTACACTAGTATAAACCCGTAACATACTGTCAGTTAAAGTTCTCTCTTAAGTTACCGTTGAAGTGCTAAGAAAGTTGTGGGAAGGAGTGAAGCCAGAGCCTTGGCCCAGTGACCTGGGTCAGGACAGTGGAATTAGAAATCTGAGTTGAACCAGATCCCGTCTCTCAGCCCACGCACTTTGACCGAGTCGGAATGCTGCTCGGTGGTGAGGCCGCCGAAGAAGTCCAGGTGCCGGGGCTGGAGAACCTGGCTTCCGTGTCCCGGAAGGCCTGCTCTAGGCCCTCCGTGTCCTGCTGGCCTAGAGAAAGGTTGGGTGTGAAGTCTTAACGATCCTAGGAACTTCACAGGTGGAAATGTCCCGCCGAATTGCCTGCTTAAGTGTACACGTGTACATGTATGTGCCAACTTGAGTAAGGGTAGTGAAGTTGAGGCCAGCTAGGAAGGGTAAAAGCCATTCATGAGGGAATGTGTGATCATTTTTTTCCTCTAACACCCGTTCCTACCTCACCTCCCAGAAGAAGGAACGTGTTGCCCTTCTTATAAGCCGTCCTCAAGTATTTTTTATAACAAAAACATTAGGATCAGGTACCTGAAAATGGAATGGGCGAAGAGCAGTATACCCAGGCCTCTCGGGTGGGTGCGCGTGTGCGTGCACGAGCACCATCAGTTTGGACAGGTGCACGTGCGCGAGCGCACATCGTAGTGTATTGAGTCCGCTGGTCCACTCCCCCAGCTCCCGGTGCTTTCGGTGGACGTGTAGCTTTCTGGTCTTGTAGTCTAGAGCTGCACCGTCCAGCACAGCAGCCACCAGCCACTTGTGCCTCTTGGGCCCTTGAACGGTGGCTAGTCTGTACCGAGAAGTACCGTAAACGTGATTTACGCGCCAAGTTTTATGGTAAAATGTGTTTCCCGTTAATGTTTCTTCTACTGATTACCTGCTGAAATAGTAGCGGGGGCCTCTCGGGTTCAAAGACATTACTTAAAGTAATTTCACTTGTTTTTTCTTTACTTTCTGATTGTCATTACTAGAACGCTGCAGACCCCACGTTTGGCTTCCGTTACGTTTTTCTTGGATAGCGCTGTTCTAGAGGGTGGTGTCCTCATTCCGGGTCCCCGTGACCTTTACTACTACTGCTTGTCTCTGTCTCCTCCGTCCACTCTCAGCAAGTTGCATTTGGTGTAGCAGATATTTGAATCCTCCCTGCCTGCAACACGCTGTACTAGGGGCCGTAGGGGACTCGGAGACGAGGTAGCACGGCTTCTGGCCTGGAGCACCTCCCGGTCTCTCGTAGGGCTAAGGCAGCTGTAGGGTGGCTGTGGCCCGAGGCCGTCGGCCTTCCAGGGAGGATGAGAGCGTAGCCCGGTGAAGGTCCCAGGGGGTCAGCCAAGATGCACACAGCTAGGTCTTCTGGATTCCCGGTATTTATTGGACAGGCTTATTTTATTAAAAGAAGCCTTGTTATTTATAATTACTAGTAATTTTTAACATGACATATTTTAAATAGGAAACGAAATGACAAAATAGAATTACTGGTGGGTTGTATTGCCGAACTTTCAGAAATTGAGGAGAACATGCTGCTTAGACATGGAGAAAACGACTTCAGTGTCATGTATTCCACAAGGAAAAACTGTGCCCAGCTCTGGCTTGGTCCCGCCGCCTTTATAAACCACGGTAAGCTGCGCTCCTCGGGTGGCCGTGCGAGTGGCGGGCAGTACTGCTAAGACGCAGCAATGACCTTGTCAGACTGCGTGGAACCTCGTCTCCCTGTAGAGGAGGCTGGAAATAGGACTTCCTTATTTTTCCCCACCAGCGTATTAAACAAACAATCCTGTCGCTTAACCTGAGACCTAAACTTCTATCAAAAGTTGTGAAATGATGTGGAAAGCTTATTTCAGATTTCTGTAATTGTTCGTGTTTCAGATCTTATCTACAGTTAATTGACTTTATCTTTTGGACATTTTTCAGATTGCAGACCTAACTGTAAGGTAAGCATAAACTTTTTTTTACTGCAAGTATTTTGTTTCTGTTGCAGGCATGAGTTTCTTAATGAGTTCATTGTATTTCAGTTTGTGTCGACTGGTCGAGATACGGCGTGTGTGAAGGCTCTGAGAGACATTGAACCTGGAGAAGAGATTTCTTGTTATTACGGAGACGGGTTCTTTGGAGAAAATAACGAGTTCTGCGAGTGTTATACTTGCGAAAGGTATGCGTCAAGTAAAGTGTCCAGCTTGTGTGTTCTTGTAACCGCCTGATGATTATGGGCACCAACTAACGTTGCTTCCTTCTCCTTTAGACACGGTGGGGGGGGTGTGTAGTCTCTTACGTTCTGTAGCTTTGGTCCGATAAAATGTGCATGAACAGTCGGGGGATACACAGCTCTTTGGGGGCCGTGGCACCTGAGCCTTTAGAGTTTTCTTATCACCAGCTGCTGCTTCTGAGTAGATCAGAGTACCAGCGTGCCTAAAGAGAGGACGGGAAATACCGTACACGTGTGTGCACGTGCATATCCGCGCGTGTGCACACAGACACCCACAGTGCCAGAGTGGGGTTGCCCAAAAAATGGCAAGTGACATTCACTTATGATGATCATGTGAAAACACTGAAGTTGTCCTGTGTCTTACCAAGCTGTGGCTTCTGGATTTTTTTTTAATTTTTTTTTTTTTT